TTCCAAAGAGGAAAGAATACCTCTCGGAGGATAGTCCTTTTTCATTTGGAAGCTCAATTTTGGATCACTCCACTACCCAAAGTGGGAAGAATAACCTCCCCTTTAGGATTAGAGTTTTCTTTTCGATTTGAGCATCCAGACATGACGAATCCAAGAAGTTTGAAGAGGAGAAGATCGATAAATTGAAGATAGAAGAGTATCCCACTCAAAATCTACTTGAGTTGTCTAAGGATTAGAATTTGGATTTGTAGTTAGCGGTACTCGACCACTTTTAATTTTCATAATTATTGGTTATAATAAATGTGGCATTTGCCTATAGATATTATTTTAAGGAATTAATTATATTGGTTAATGTCGGATTTTACTTTGCTTGACTATATGATTTTGCATGTTTTTCCTATTTTTTGGTGTTTGTGTGTCGATTTTGTTTTAGCCTGGACATGTGGAGGCTTGTGAGGGCACGATAAAACTTTTTCTACTTAAAATTAAATTAAAAATTTTAGCTCATATAAAAACTTTAACAATTTAAGAAGTAAGCTCAAGACCACCAAGAGTTAACATAAATATATCATTTCCTTCTCTTCCATGTTAGGCACCTCCATGCTTACGGGTTTTAACATACCACATAGCCTTTGAGGGTGCAGATCTATCAAGGGGATGTTATGCAATCTCTAAGAAAAAAATATTTTCAAGCCTTTTTTAAAATTGCTTCATTCAATTTTATGCATTTAATCGAGTTGATTAGCATGCATTGCATTAAAAACTATATTAAAATGAGTCTAAAATTTTAATTGCATTTCTCTTTAGTATTTTCACCCTATATAAGTTAAGGACCAATTAGGATCCGCTCTAGATGTTGGTCTTAATTCTCAAAAACTTTAATAAAAATGTCCATACAACTCTTTCATAAATTGACTTTATTCAAGGATTTAAAATCGGCTAGGTTGTTAGCTGGCTCCCTAATATAGGCTAGGTAAGTCTAAACTTTATACTGTATTAGTTAGATTTGGGCCACCGTCGTCTGGTGCCCAATTTAGATTTAAGATTCGAGACATATTTTGAATCATAAGACTCCAACCTAAGGGAATAAAATTTCAAAATTTTAATAAAATAATCAATTCAAATTAAAATTCTTCTCAATCCAAAACCTAAAGCCCAACACTTTCTTTCGTTGATTCCTAAAATAAATGTTCAAAATTTGACACATTCCCAGTTTAGATTTCATATTCACCACCTTTGATATCACTCACAAAAAATTCTTTAAACAAAATTTTCTGTGGTTATTTTGATCAAGAATTTGTAAGAGATTCTGATTTCCTATGATGTAATTAACTACGAGGGCTTGCACTCGTGAAAAATTTAGAACCCGCATCAATTTTTCAAAAATCAATTAATATTTTTTTTGGGAATCAAATTTATGATTCTCGTCATCTTTATAATCGAATAATTGCTAACGGGTAATATTTTCTCCCCTCGGGGATATGCATCATCCGTTAACATAAATTTAAATATGAAATGAACGATCACTTCTCTTAATTATCATGGTCAAATATTTGTCTGGACTTTATTTTGACCCTCCGAGATTATATATGGTTCTCCCTTAAATCATGCTACGACATTCAAGAGTAAACCTTCAATTTCGGGTGCGAACCTGTCAGGAGATTTTATTTCCGCCTTCAGAGGTGAAGTATTATCCCTAATGGTTTGTTCAACTCCAAAATTGAAATTTAAACTTAATTTCCAATTTTTCCAAATAAATTTAATTTATATTTGTTTTGCGCGCACCTTGCAAGGTAAATCACCTTTTTAAAATTCCACAAATAAAATAGCTTTATATGAAGATAATGCATAAAAGAATATTTTAATAGGGATAATTGATATATTTATATAAAAAAATCATGTTGTCTGATCCAATTAAAATAATTATACTAAAGTATTTCATTAGTTATAAATAATGCGAGTCCCCTTAATTAAATAAGACATTGATATAATATAATATATACAAACTATTGAGGATGGATTCCATGATAAAAGTTGCAAGAGCCTTACAACATTAATGTCTTTTAGAGTGATTATTTATAGTTTATTCAATCATTCACCTTAAGGAGACAATACCAAAGATAATGAAGTCTAACATAATATTGAAGTCTAAAGTTGAAGATGGTGTCAATATCGTAGAAAGGCATTATATATTAGTGATGACCTGCATCAGCTTTATGAGCGACAATAGATTATGAAGTTGATATATGTCGGTCTTGGCATAAATGATATGCATTGAACTTATAGTAATGCATATGTAAACAATAACATTAACCTTATAAATGATGACGTACATCGATAAAATGCATTGATCTTATAAATGATGGTATGCATCAACACTACTAGCGATTATATGCAATGAAGTCGACGAGCATTATTGCAGTCATTGTTGTTTGAGACTATGGTCGGGATATTGTAGTCAAGCAATGCTGGTTACGAGATCATAGTCATTATAGTTAGGTGATGATAGTCAGTAGACTATATTCAAATGAATGTGGCTAGATATTTGTGGTCGGGTGATGATTACTGATGATGATCATTGACAATGATGGTTTGGTAGAGCTCTCTCTTAATCTAAACATTTCTAAAAAATAGTCAATAAGCAATACCATATGATTGAACAAATAAAACATCTCAAATTTCATTTGGGATAGCTTTTTTACTACTTTCTAAAGCAGCTTTCTAGTACAAAAAATTTTAGTTCAAAAGATTAAAATACTATTTTTGAAAATAATAAAAAAAGTCATCTGAAATGAAGGGTTAAGGGTTTCAGGTTTATAGTTTAGGGTTTAGCTTTAAGTCCCAAGTCCATTTCAAGTAGAAAATGAGTGTCTATTTATAATTTTCTGTAATCGATATTTTGGTACATCTGGCCAAATTTTCAAAACTAGTCTTATTGATTCTAGTCCCTCATTCATAGATCATTCTCTTATCATTTAAGTATCTTAATGACCTTAGAATTAAGTAATGTTAAGCTTTTTGGATTATTTTCATCGAGAAGCTTGATTTGTTTATTTGCATGACACATTTAGAGATTGTTTAGTCCTTCAATTATATCATTAAGTTTTTTTTTAAAACTTTGCTTCAAACGCTTGCTTTTGGTTTATTTGGATTCAGATCAAATTGCTTTTAGTGTTATATGATTCTTCTTGTCAAGAAGCTTAATTCAAATATAAGTTTGCTAAAATTGGTTTTTGGATCATTGTGAATTTGATTTTTATAGTTTTTAATTCCAATATTCATTTTAATGAAGTGAATTTTCATATAATATGCCACTTATGATTGAATATGAAGAGAATCACAAGTCTCTTTTACAATTGTAGTACAAACATAAATGGTATTCAGATCAAATCACAAGTCTTCTTTGTATAAGAAGAATGATGTTCCACTCTTTCACACTTCGACTATCTCCAATATTATTATTGTCATTTCATTGATGATTTCTTTGGTGAGCATGGTATGAGAACCACGTTGGTGAAGCTCAATAAAAAAAAAAAGAGTTTATAGTGATTTTTATAAACATGGGCAAGTTTTTTATTATAAATTATATCATTTTTTCTTCATGTATCATGGGGATAAAAACAACAATTCAAGATATTAATAACATATGAAGGTATATCCACTTCAGTGGCTACTTATAAAATAGCCTAAAGCTCGAGTTTTTTCTCAGTTCATTGGAAAGGATAGGCATCTTGTTGAGAGCAAAGAAGAGTTGCATAGGATGTTCCATTTAACAAAGACAACAAATCACTTTTAATTCAAAATAAAGAAATAAAAAAAAAAATTCTCATGAAGATTAGAATCTAAAAACTTTGGCAAGCTCAAATATATTTGAATCACAAATCACTTATAATTTACCTGTTAGGTCGAAAGACCACTGAAATATGAGCTGTAACTCATTATACATATAATCAAGTAGAAGTTCATTATATTTGATCCTAATTTGAAGTCAAATATGATCATATCATATTTGAAGAAAGATTGCAACATTGATTTATCCTTTGAGAAGACTTGATAATTTCAAGAGTAAGCTATTACTTATGTAAAATAATCTTACCAAACATCCTTACAAAAGTTACCATCCTATTTGATTATGCTACACATAAAAAAAATAGGGATAATAATTGATATTAGCTTGACAACAACAAAGTATATTTTGATTATGTTTACTTCTCTTTGGAGATTTGTGTGTAAGGTATAAAAATGTAGGTCACTTAATGTTAAGTGTTGATGAAATATATTTGAATACTTTTCTTCAAAATTCAAGTTTCTGACTACTTTTATTGAAGTTTTTGAGGCCATAATGCATAAATGATTCTTCAATAAGCATGCAATTACATCAAATACTAAACACATTTTGGCAAAGGAAAATAAATAAATATTTGAAAAACTCTTTAAAAAGTCTCGAAATTTGATTTTTTGTCCTATTAAAACAATTTGAATTGTGTGCCCTTGATGATGATTCTAACAGTGATGTTGGGATGTGATATCATTTCTATAGCTCATGCCCAAAGTTTATACACACACAATCAAAATTGAAGAAATTTGTGAGGTTCTTTATGAAATAAATATATTTTTCGTGTTTAATCGGTGAAGTCTGAGAGTGTTTGTACAAATAAATAAAAAAATAAAAGACTTTCAAAAATAGAGAATTATGTGATGCAATTTACGTGCAATCGATATTGAATGAGAGGCCATAACCTACTTGTAAAGCTAAGTTCCCATCACATACATAACATTTTTTACTTTACACATTATTATTATAAAAATATTATAAGTGGTTTGAATCCATATAATTATTGAAGTAAAAGCAATGTCTATCATTGTGATATTTCTAGCTATTATTTTACATTATGTTATATTTATCTTATATATTAATTGACCAATTTTTACTATTTTCAGTCTTATTTTCATTTACGTAAAATCCGCAATTCATAGCTCCTTTGGTTCTCGAAGGGTCACCAGACCTTTTGGACAGCGAGCCCAGGCTTGCAGACTTGCAGCATTCTTCAACTCGTCTTAAAAATATGTGGCACATTGCCGATCACAGGCGCTCACTGAGACTTCATGATTGACGAAGCAGTTTCCCCGCTGGCGAGCGGCGGCGCCTCTGCGTCCGCGGCCTCCGCGGAAGCCGAAGACGTCTCGACGCTCCTTCCTCTCTCGCTACGCAGATCCCAGCTCATCCCCCCCGCTCCGAACCGCCGCCGGTCGGCGATTGACTTCCTTCACGACTTCGGCGGTTCCTCCTGGATCGCCTATGGCGCGTCCTCCCTCCTTGTGATTTCCCACTTCCCTTCCCCTCTGCCAGAGCACGAAAACCTAGTCGGTCCATTCTTTCGCCAGGTCATTGAGCCGTCCTCCTGCAGCGCCGTCAACTGGGCAGCTTACGTAAACGCCGTCTCCTGGTGTCCAGTTCGTCCGTCCGAGGGCGAGGTCGCGGCAGCGCAGGGAAACTCCATTTGGCTCTACGCTCCGCAGCCTGACAGTGATACAGGTTTGAAGGGTTATCCTAATTATTTTATTTATTTAACGTTGAGTTTCTTAGTTTGCGAAAGATATTGGAGAGTGCAATGATTTCCAATGCAACGCTTCAACATGTTTGGCTTTGTATCTCACAATAGGTTGCTGGCTTTGATTAAATATGATGCCTTATCTTAGTAGCTGTGGTTGCTCGGATTGATGAGGCTGAGTTTGTGTTGATGCTATCCGTTTATTCGTTTACCTTGTTATGAAGTAACAAAGATATATAATTGTGATACAACAAGTAGATCATTCCTAATGGGCTGTCTGCTATCCTATTTTAGTCAGTTTTTAAGCAAGATTTAGCACTAATCCGCCAAACAGAATTTTGGGCACCTTAAATGATACTGTTTTGATGATTGCCATTTTATCTTGTTATTGATTAAATATAGGATTTATTAAGTCCAATCATTTAAGGATTTAATTGATTTAAGAATTCCCCCTCACAAATCTTAAATTCATAAACAAATATCAAACAATTTATCAAGATTTGACAATTGTCATGCCGGTTTTAATCCTCTCAAGATTTACTAAATCTGAATTTATTGTATTTAATAAGTCCTTATGTTAAATCCCACATGTAGCCAAACAGCCCATAGATGTGTTCTCCATCCCACTGTTTGCTAATCACTGAATTGGCAACATCTTGAAAAATGCTCACAATCCTTCATCATCGTTTACCTTTATAAGACTTTGCTATTCATATTTTCATTTGCGCAGTTGTTTGGGATGGTCATAAATCATCTTGCTACAATTAGGTAACCTAATTTGAGTACAATATTAGAATGCATTGGGAATTAATTAATTCAATTTTCCATGACTACTGTTGGTCTAATATGCTTAGATTTTAGAGTTTGAAAGAGATTCTAACAAATTATTAAAATGATGTAGACAGGCTTAGGGGTGAAGTCAGTTTAAAAGATTATTCAGGACTTTTGTAGATTCTTCCATGACTTGGTTTTTAGCTTAATTTTTTTTCTATGAAGTAAAACAATGAAATTCTGTTCTTGATACGAATAAAAAAGCAACAAGTTTGTTTTGAACTTTGTTAAGGCACATTTTCTCGCATTTTCTTAGTTTCTTACAGACCTTTGTTAGGTATGTTTGAGTTATGAATATAGCAAAATCAGGTTAGGTGAATATCGATAAATTAGACTTGGGTTGAATCTTGGTTTGATTGTGTTATTCATCATTGAGTTATTGTAAGGAACATCACTGATCATTTGTTTTTAAGAAAATTCAACAATTTTAAGATCAAAAATTAAAAAATTGCAGTTACAAGTTTTTTTTTTTGTTATTTCAGTCATCAAATTATACTTGTTTTTACAAACAAAGCCACAGTTAAACTTACTCATATATTTAATCTTCTAGGTTATACTAAGCTGTATAAAATTGAAGTGTAGGTAGGAAAATTCGAATGCTAATTATATATCTAATCGGTTTGAAAATTTAAATTTGTATAATACTTGTCAAGGCCATGAATTTGGCTTGAGGATCAAGGATCACTAGAAAACCTGATTTGTTTTTAGCACGTATTGAGCTCGTATTGAAGTCAACGAGCCATCTACTAAGACAAGCTTTACCATGATCAAACTTGAATTATGATCCTAGATGGGATAGAGCAAGTTGAGATCGTATCATAAAGTATATGTTTGTTTGTATGAATGTTTACACACACAAACACACACACACACACACACACACACACACACACACACACACACACACACACACACACACACACACACACACACACACACACACACACACACACACACACACACACACACACACACACACACACACACACACACACACACACACACACACACACACACACACACACACACACACACACACACACACACACACACACACACACACACACACACACACACACACACACACACACACACACACACACACACACACACACACACACACACACACACACACACACACACACACACCCTTAAGTTAACCTTTTAAGCCGATTTTGGCTTCATTCGGAATAATTTTTTTATTGTTTTTCATCGAGCATTTGAAAGTAATAAAACAATTGGCTAAAAACTATCCCAAACAAAATCTTTGAAATATAAAAATTATCAAATATTTAATATTGTACGCACCGGTTTGAATTAACTTAGCCCGAAGATTGAATTAACTTAGCCCGAAGATTCAACTTAAAATTCTGGCTAAAAGAATTGATCTTTTTTATTAGTAATTTTGGCTAAAAGAATTGATCTTTTTTATTAGTAATTTTATATGTCTTAAGAATCGGTTTGTTACTTTTTTGCAGTCTGATAGGTCTCTGGGTCAAAAATTGGCGACTCGTCTGAACGTCAAGCCAAGCTTGTAAGCAGATCCATGTTCGAAGTAGCAGGTTTCAAGGTAAGTTATCTATATGCAGAGAAGCATATGGTGGCGTTTTAAGGATGAAAAGAAATGTTTACTCTATTTAGATAACATCATCTTGTTTGCTGCTATTTGTTCTATTACGTGGCATGATGTAATAAACATGCTTGCATGTCTTGCTTATCGTGTTGTGTACTGTTCTTCCGTATGAAAGCGCAATTCACTTTTGTGGTTTCTCTGTTTGGGAGTTGAGTAATATTTTCGAGCTTGCTTATTGTTGAAGATGAATTTAAGTTGCTTCAAATGCGTCAGATCGCATTTGGTTGAGCTATGAATTGTTTGGTTGGTTAAAAAAGAAATGCAGCGTAAACAAAATGTTTTAGAGTTATTTGGATGAGTATTTTTTTAATTTGGTTAAAAGTAAAATGATTATAGTGTAAAGTTTGAAGATGGTAGTGATTGGTCGGTGGTATGGCTGCAGTGGGTGGTCGTCAACAGTGGCAGTTGGCGGCGAAGGTGGCGGCCAATAGCCAGCGTTGATGGGTTGTGACGTCTGATTGTGGCCGAGCTTGCTTGTGGTGTATGTGGTGTAAATGATTCACGCTCATATAACCAATCCCTTGTAGTAGGATAAAGTTTAATGTTATTGTTGTTGTAGGGAGATGATGTGACGTTCACAAACTAAACTAGATGATGAGAAATGCTATATTACCTGATAAAAAAATGGAACCCCCCAACTTACTTTGGTTTGTGGGCGAATATGGTTGGGAGCCCTCTAACATATGCTAAATTTTTCTCGAGTGACATCGACTCTTAAATGGGGTCTAATTAAGTGCGGGTTAGGAGGTTTCTAGTGTGGGTGCATCTAGTCACGCTATCAAATGTTCTTTTATGATGGCAGCGGATGAATATCCTATTCCCAACAAAAAAGATAAATAAATAAAATAAAATAAAAATCAAGTAACATCATAACCTAATTAGGTTAATCAATAAAAGTTTAAGCTTTTGAGCACATTTATTAACTACTAGTAATTAATATATAAGATTATTTTCTAACTATTCACATAAAAAAATTGATTTTTTTTTAGTCAACGGTGTATTTTATATTTGAGGAGTCATATGCATCAGTGAATTTTATATATTTTATATAATATTTTACTTTTAAGTTTTATTAAAAAAATTTACTAAAATTAATTTGTAAAAAATGAAAGATATATATTTCATTTATATATTTTGATTTAATTTGAATTTTATTTAGTATATAAGTAAATATGTAGATTTACATATTAAATACGTATGCTTATAGGTTTCTTTAAAATAAAAATATAAGGGAATGATCCTTTGAATGTTATAATATATTTAATGTATAAAACTATCGTCCATGAATATTTTTAATTAATTTGACGGATACTTTGAGTTAATTTAATTTTGGTAATGCTTACTTGATTTATTTTTTGAATTAATAGTCCACTTTAAATAGATCAAACAAAATGAATAAAGTACATACTTTTGTCTGACTGAAATATTTTTATCAAATTACCTAAATAAAAGTGGATGTCACAAGTTTCTATGCAAGTTTCAAGGCAATATAGGTGCGGAGTCCAAACATAAAGAACCTTGTGAATTACCTTACATTCTGCGTATTTGTAGATACGTTATAAATAAATAGCAAATCCTCACAACAAATCATTTACTGTTTATCTACAAATATGCAATAAATACACTAAGCGTAGACAAAATTTACGCCGTAATCTGGAAGATCCTCTAAGTTTTGACTCCGCACAGAATAATTTCTCTCCCTTGAGGGATTTATTATCCTGTGTAGCTGGAGACCAATAAAAATATACCACGTCACCCCATTGTTTGGTATCGAGCTCGGTATCCATGCTCGATACCGCTGGATACCTAGCGCTTAACCGGACGGTTGATGTCCGCACATAATATAGCTCCCCTTGAGGGCTTGTATCTTACATGATCTTTTTATCGACAATGAGTACAGTAAAATAAACTAACAGTTCTTTAGATATATTGGCCACTCACTCATCCAACTTTGTGAGTTTGTCATCATACAATGTTTACCTCATAAATACATATTTGCTGCCCACGGTAATACACTTACTATTTCGCTTTTGATCTCATTATGGTCTTCTCGGAAGTGAACCTTAACAACACAGAATATCTACAAGCTTATGCTTGCAAAGCCTCAATAGTTTCTATATTGGTTCCTTCCTAAATGCAGAGTCATGCAAGTTCATCACAATAAATACATAAATGTTCACCACACTTACAAATATAAAGAAAAATAAGCATAACTGATTGCATACTAATAGAATTATAGCTTGATTTTGATTATATTAATTACTCGGTTGAAACTGCAGGCTGATCTTCTGGCTTTTCTTCAGCAACCCGCCTTGAAGGAGGTCCACAAATGCTAAGCAGAACCTGCTTAGACAAATTTTTTATGTTAAGATAGGTAAATTTCAGCTGCTAATGGAAAATTGGAATTTTATAAGGTTTATTTGTGTCATTAACTCACTGGAAGAAAGACGAGCCCGTGCAAGAATCCTATGAGAACCAATGCTAGGTACATCTGGAAATAATAAACCTACAAAAGAACAGAATGAAGACTCATAAACTAATTGTTCAGGAAAATTAGGGGTGTCAATATTTGGCACGATCCGAAAATCCGACTAAAACTCGACCCGAAAATTCCGGGTTAGGGTCATAACCCGGACGAAACGGGTCATGTTTGGTTCAACAATTCGACCAATTTCAAAAATTGGGTTGGAATCAGATTTATCCTTTGACACGAAATTGACCTGTTTTTTGACCCGGATTCCCGAGATTAACCCATTTTCGACCCGTTTTGATCCAAAAAGCGGAGACTAAGCCATTTTTAAACCCCAAAACTAGCAATTTCTTTCATGGCACCGGATCATTCGGGTCGTGTCGGGTTAACCCGGACCCGAAGCGGGTCGCGTTTGTGTCCAAAAAATTGACTTGTTTGCCAAAACGGGTCTGGTTCGGGTTGACAAAATAGTGCTAGGTCAGTTTCTGATTCGGCCCGAACCCGACCCGTGACCCAAAATTGACACCCCTAAGGAAAATGAATAGCATTGAAATGTTATGGTTAAATACCACAAAGACTTGTGATTTTGCAAAGCTCAACACAATTACACCTACTAGCTTCGTAAGAGTGATTCCACTGCAAGGGAAACAGAAGAGACACATCAGTAATATTAATTTTCATATATAATACAACTAGTAAAAATTACTTATCAAACAGTCATAATACATATTTAACGTCTTAAATCAATTGATTATTGCTATTAAGTTGCTACATTTTTTTTGATGCCTTAGACAATTAGATCATCATCATCATGTGTGTACAACCGATGTTTCATTCTGGCAGATCTTAGTTCATGAATAAGTACTAGGCTACCTGAACACAGAGGCGCCCATTGTGCACAGAGCTGCTTTGGCCCGGCTCCCTCTATCTCCACTACTTACCTGAACCAACACAAGTCATATTAAAGATGAAAACTAAGATAAATAGGAGTTCATTAAATATTAAAACTACTGATCAACATTTTTTTACCCATGACTATAAAAATATTAAATAAGCAAAATTGTAATCTAAACTGAAGTTAAATTCCAAATCAATGCTGGTTTAAGATCTTATTTAATGATTTATTTGATGCCCTCTTAAATAGAGTTGGCGATAATTAGAACAAAAGCTTCTGTTGAGCAAATTATTTGCCTGAAAGAATTAATTCTTATTTTTATGTTCTCACTAATATTTTAATTTCAAAATATCAAAAACTTGCAAAGTGAAGTTTATTGATCTTTAAGCAACTCATAAATTATGCTAAATAATGAGGGTTTATATAAAAATTCAAATTTGCCTAGAGCTCACTAAATCATTTAAAAAAAAAAAAAAACTCAAACAAGATTTTAGTTATGCTTGTGTGCAGTTTAATAAAAAATAAAATGATCAAGTTTGAGTAGTATAATAGTTGGGTAGACTAGGCCGTTTATATATGCTAATGAAAATGTTTAGTAAAAAAGTTGATAAAAAGTAGTATGAGAGTTTATGCATTAAACTTTGTATTTCTTTTATTTTCAGTCATATAACAAATGAATCCTAGTTTTATATCATTAACGATATCAAAAACTATAATGTAATTAGGAAAACTCTACAATTTCCAGCAAGTAGAAGGATAGAAGCTCACCAGGAAAGCATGTGTTATATGCACACAGAACTCAACAGCAATTCCTATCGACATGACAAGGTTGACAACTGAAATTGCATTCAACTGAATTTTCAAGATAGCCATGACTCCCTGTCAATTATAAAATTGTTAAGAAAAGCTTTTAAAGCGTTGCAGAATATAAAATGCAAAACAAAAGTTGATCTACTTTAGATTCAGACTGAGAAAATTTTAGTCATGCTTCACAGGTATATGAAGTTGAAGATGAAAAAAATTCATATTGACATTCTTCTGTGCAAAATTGGTAATTTCAACGCTTTGGGTATTTCTCATTATTTATGAACTTAAGTCATTAGAGGTACATTAATGTCTTATTAGGACATTAATTTCATTACTATTTATTATAGTAAGAATATAATTCTGTAAATTTAGGTATGAGGAGGGCATAAATGAAGTGGAATACATTAAGATTGCTAGGTCAACCTGCGGATCCTATATTACTACACTACAGAACTAAATTGTCAATTGTGCTTGAATAGTGAATATCCTACATTAGAACCAAAAAGTAAGATATATTTTCTCTCCAAGGTTTGCGGAAGATATTTCACTACAAAGATTCCTATTGTTGCTTCTACTCATACTCCCCAAAAAGAAGATCCCACTCTAACAACTCTGAATAACTTAAATACATGCATTAAGATTGAAGACTTCTTCCACAGCAATAGAAGCACTTTTTTTATTCTTTCATATACAAAGTTGCTTTTACAGTCCAAAAAAAAAAAAGCTTTTTCTTTAGTTGGATGCATCTTAAATGCAAAAAATAAACAAAAGAAAAGAGTTACCATCATGTCAAGGACAATCATCGCTAACACTAACAAAATCATTGCTGATGTCCAGAGGCTGCATTTAATATTTTAATCTTAGAGTGCTGAAAGACCAAGATTTGGATTAGGAATAGATAACAGAACTTAAAATAACCATGTAGAATTATTGCCAACCTGCAAGTGATAACCAGACATATAATGAACACAGCACCTGTTAGAGTAAGAATACACAACATAGTCAGTATGTGCTGAAACTAACATGGTTTAATTAAATAGAAGCAATAAATTAAATGTGAAAGAAAGTAAGTTATTAGAGCTGTATAATTTAAAATGAACATTTCTGCCCAGAATTATTGCCATTACTGGCCGTCACGATAGGAACGCAATTCATTGCTAATAAAGTCAGGTAGTAGGAAATTTTGATGGTAGGAGATTTTGAGTTTATTAAAGTTCTATTGTCAAAAAAATTCAACATATTCTTCAAGCTATTTTTAAGCATGTGTGTGAAAGCTCATACCAGGATCAGCCAGTAAGAGTAATATTCTGGCGTTAGATTTGAATTGAGAATGATTTTTGGTAAAAAGACTATAATTACTGTTTTCAATGTTTAACAGACATACAATGTGATGCAAAGAACTTGTAAAGTTCTCATCACAATGGTCCCAATTGGGCCATTTGGTATAACCTTTTATTTTTGTTTTTGAAACATATATTTGGTTTGTGATTTTTAGAAGTTATTTATATTTGTTTTTAAAAATAACTCAAATTGTTTTTGAAAATACTCAAAATAATATTTAGGTGTTTTTTTTTTTTTTTAATTTAAAATCATTCCAAACACTGCATGCTACCGCTAGCAACTACTCACCACCACAAACAGCTACTACCAATGCTCTACCAAAGGACGCAATCCTTCAAGTGAAATAATAAGAACAAGAAAAAAACTCCTCAGCCCCACTCGCAACGCTGCGGGTGTTTTACTTGGAGCATCTCGACACTGATTTCTCTGTCTCGCAATATCGTGGTGTTGAGTTCACAGTATTGTGACGTTAGAACTACAACATTATGGTGATGTGCTCTCTGTCTCAAGAGCAATTATTACATCCGGTCAAAACCGAACGTATCTGAATGTATACCGAGCAATACCGAGTGATCAATACCGAGTTTTAGGTGACGTGGCGCATAGTTATTGGTTTATGAACGCGTTCGGTGACCGGACGTAATAAGTGCTCCTGTCTCAGAGGGGTTTCATAGCGCCACGACGATGCACGGAAAAGAAAACTTTGTTTCGAGCTCGACCGTCAGAATTGAGGTATGAGTTAATAATACAACCCAATTGATCGACACAATCAGATTTCACACAAAACTAATATTCTCCTCATAGACGGAGAAGAGTCCATCTTTCTCTCTCTTATATATATATGATGTAGAGCGGGCAGGAGGTAGTGGCAAGGATGAAGTCCAAACTTCCTTCCAAAAATCTGGAATTGCCCTTCTCCAAAATCTGAAATAAATCAGGATTTATCTCAAAAATCTGGGAGGAAAACTCAGTTTTGACCTGTAGGGAAGAAGATCTTGAAGGAGTAAGAGGTGAGGAGGAATTTAGATCCACTAGAGCACTAACGGTGGAGAGGGGAATTGAGAGATAGAGATGGCTAGGGAGGGGCGGCGGGATGCTGAGGAGGGGAATTGGAAATCCAAAATTAAATTCCCTGGATGTAGGAAATTAATTAGCTGGCTATGGCAAAGGAGAAATTCGGGTAACAGGGATTTGAGGGAGTTTGGATTATTTCCTAAAACTTGGATGGGAAATTTAGGAGATAAAGGAGACAGTGGAAGCAATGAGGGCAGAATTTGTGTGAGGAATAAAAGAGAAGGAAGGGATTTGGTAGAGAGAAGAAGGGGGCGGGTGAGAGAGGGAGACGGGTATAGGGGCGGTGATGCAGGGAAGAAAAGGAAAAGAATTTCTTTATTTCCAGAAGTGGACTTACCACTCAGGCAATAATTTAATCCATTCCAGGTGAGGGGAATTCCGTAAAGAGGAATTACGTGGCTTTCAAATTATTTCCTAAGTGTTGTGTTGAAGTTAGGAAATAATTAAAAGGATTTTTGTTCCTGTAATTAATCTCCACAGACTAGGGAATTAATTAGTAGAGCAAGGCAAGGGAAAATTTGGGCTTATGATTAGGAATTTAATCAAAAATGAATTTTAATTTCAGTTTTGGTTAAATTAGGAGGGAATTGATTTGAATTTTAAAATTCAAATCAAAGAAATTAATGCCATGAATGGGGGAGTAAAGGAGGGAGCCCAAAGAGGGGGCCGGCGGGTCTAGGGAGAGAGATTAATTCAAATCCTGAAATTAATTTCATGATTTGAATGAAAATGGGGGGAAATTAATTTGAAGATTGATTTCAAATTAAGATGCCATTAAATGCCTTAATTGGGGAATTGATGGGAGGAACACCAATTAGGAAATATTTCAAATTTGAAATTTGAAATCCCAAATTGTCATGAATTTTCCCTCTTGATTTTGCCAACCCAAATTGGAAAGAGGCATGGCCAAGGGAGAATGAGGGGGTGAGGTGGCCGGCGGGTTGTGAAAAGGTGGCCGGCGGGATGGTGAAGAGGTGGCCGGTCGCTTGGGTGGAGGATGGGGATGTCGACAAGGAGAAAATGAAAAGATAACGAAAAGAATAAAACCACGAACCCGGCCGTCTCCAAGGTTGGTGGGTGATACGATTTCCCTCTCCAAGGGATCTCAATTCACGAGCCCGGACCCATCCTGCGGCTGGTGAAACTCTCGATTTCTCTCATAGAAATCTCACTCTCGTCCTCTCTCAAGATGAACACAAGTGGAAAACAATTTTTTTTTCATATTAATCAACCATCCCATACAATAGATTAAGGCCTTATATAAAGGCCATAACATGAGAAAATCAAAATTACAAAAATGCCCCTTGGGCCAAGACACTCACATAAACTATCCTAGGGGTAAAATAGGAAAATACACAAAACAAGAGCTAAAATTCAGAAAATAATACATAAATGAAAATTTAAATAATGCCCGTCGATTTACGACGCCGCCTGTGATAGATGCGCCAAATCTTCGTACCGATGTCCGCATCAATATATATATAAGAAAGCGAGAGAGTGAGCATGCATGATAAAGAGAGCAAGGGAGAAAGGGCTAGTGACATGAGAGAGAGGGACGGAAGTATGTAGGAAAAGGATTGAAACCAAGGGAAAAATTGAGCAATTAAAACATTTTGATTGTATGTGGTTTGACACAGAATTATATTATATGACTATAAAAGGTTGATATGGCACCACACAATGCCTTAGTGCAGTAGATTACAAGAATAGTATATATAGATAGGTTATCAGTTGCATGATCCTCATCAAAGGATATAAATATTCAAGGGTGACAGTTTAAACTCATTCTAGACAACATTTCAGCTAATTTTGAACTAATGTGAAATTTAATTGTGCATCCTTTTATGTATCTAGAGAAAGAAAGAACTAAGAAAGCTTACTTTTTTAAAGGGTAGAAACCTATTAAAAAATATTTTAATAATTTAAAGTGACACAAAAGATTAGTACTAGTTAAAAGGCACAAAGTCAAATACACATTGAATTCCATTTAAGGAACCAGAGAAATAGTTAGCATAAAGCATCGCATGGCTCAAAATCAAACCTATGACCTCTCCCTTGGGAATCAGGGAGCATACTTTGCAAAACCTACAGCTCATTGGTAACTAAGAAAGCTGAAGCTACCAAGTAACTATTAAATTAAACTAAACTCCACAAAGAAAAGAGAGTAAATAGAGGAATGTAGAGCTAGTAGCACATTTCAATTACTAGTTTGCTATGGAAAACCTAGATGTTTAATATATGACAACAAATGTATAGATGCCAAAATAAGTACGGTAACAATATTTACAAAAAAGTACTTTATGAGAATGAAAGTTATACAAATAATGGTAAGCGCCCTACTGAAATATTCAACTTGACAAGAAAAAAGTAGTATAAACATGCTATAAGAAACTTATGGGATACAAATAACTGATTAACAACACATGGAGGGAAAACTAACCTAGACCAATTGCAATGAGGGTCCATGCCGTCTTCCATATATTAAGATATTGCTCAAAAAATATGTAGTATACGGAATATGGAAAAATCTGAATCTGCAATGTAGTCTCCAACTCCAAGTTAGCTTTAGTTTTTGGTATACAATTCCAAAATTTAATTCTACTGGGAAAAATGTAAATAGGTTAAACAAATGTGAATCATTTGCATCCTTTGAGCAATTAACCTAGGACAAAACACACAAAATCAAACTCATTAATTGCTCATAGAATTTTAGTTTAGAAGGAAAAGTGCCCATTTTCATTTCCTTGACAGTTATAATCCATCTAGTTACCAAAAAAACCTCAAGTAGCATAAAATTATGCATGGAGGCTTCAGATTGCTCACACAACTAGAGCTATCAAAACCATCAGATATTTTAAAAAGTTTATTGGCATGGAAAGTGTAAGGATTTACATTAAATAAATAATTTGATCCATTAAAACTAAAGCCTCAATTTACTTGTCAGAATTTTGAATGGTGATTTAAGTAGTGAAGATATAGACGTAATAAAAGAAATTGGTGAAGTCACATAGATGCTACTTTTTGCCTCCAAACACTCAAACTGAAAGCATACTTAACTCAAGAATATTTTATTTAGTTCTTTCAGCTGCAGATAAACTATCAACTTTCAGCTGCAGATTATCAATGTACCATTTAGCAATAAATGATTCCAGCCGGACTTTCTCTTACTTTTCCAATATTACTCATTTCAGCCAGGATGATAATTACTAACCGGCTCCTATTTTGTGGGCGCCAACAAAAAATAAATGAATTACAAGTTTGAAATCCCGGTTCTATTTATTTTTGTAATCAATCAGTTGATCAAAAAGTAATCAGAAAATGATTACGAGAAAAAGTTAAACAAGCTAAACAGAAAAAACCGATGCTCACAATCCATAAATGCTTTTGTAATTTGATAAAATTGCATATAATACCCATTCATCTATTGTAAGTTTTTTCTGTTCATGTATCACTACTGCTCAGTGATTAAATATTAAGAGCAAAGTGGCACTTTCCTAATTTATTATATTATTTGTTCCCATAAGTACCTGTTGCAGGAAAACTACGAGATTAGAAAGTCCTCGCTGGTAAGTACTAGATTACAAAGATGCACGTTATTACATTTTATACCCTCTTAATTGAGAGTTGTCACATCTTTCTTCCTTTTGTATTCACCTTGTATAATTATGATTTCAGTCAACAAGAACAAGAACTCTTTCTTCTGACGCAGTATTAGTGCAAAATTTCCCTGCATACTCTTCATCTTATCCCCCTTATATAACCTAGCCACCTCTCCTCGCTCAACTGTGATGGGAACTAGCAAGTTAAAAGTCCAATGGAGTACACAAAAGAAAGTAGAACACAACTCGATCCAAAACCTTAGTAAGCAAAAAACACCAAATAACATTAAACAAACTGAAATTGTTTTATAAGAAGAAAGAAAGAAAGAAAGAAAAAAAACCTCAGAACAACCAACTAGTGGTCACCTCACATGTAACGATAAATTAGGTAAATGTAATGCTCTAGGACATGCAAACTAGTGGTCCACCACAACTACTTTGATCCAATCCAACGTCTGCCACAACTCCTCCGACAAATCCCAACAAAACTTACCAACCAACACTACTCTCAATATTAGAAGAAGGATACAATGGGGTGGAAACTTGTGGAGAGAAGAAAGGGTTAGAAGACTTGGAAGAAGAGACAAGAAGTGAAGAAGTAGCTCTCAAGCTAGAGAAGAAAGCCTCAGGTTTTAATTTTGTTTTTCACTTCCAAAAACTTCCTCAAAACAGCCCAAAACTCCCCTATAAATAGGAAAGAAAAGGAGGCTAACAGCCATCAAAAGCTGCCACCCTCAGCCAATCAAAAATGGGAGAAAAAGGCAGCACAATGGCACGATTGGACCCCCACCTGAACAGCCACAACAAAGGGAACCGGGAAAACCAGGGAGCAGGAACCAAACAACCAAAGTAAAGGGAACCGAGAAAGATAGGGAGCAGGAACTGAACAGCCAAAGCAATAGAAACCGAGAAAGCAGGGAGCAAGAACCGAACAACCAAAGCAAGGGAAATCGGGAAAGCAAGGAGCAGGAACCGTACAACCAAAAGGCTAAGAAGCAATTCAGCCGCCCACCACATCCCAAGTCAACTCAAACACAAGCACCAAAAGAAGCTAACACACCAAAGGAAAACATGTCCAAAGAGCACCTAAACCACACATAATCATCGATTGCCTACCATCATCAGGTCAAGAAACAACAACAACAACAACAACAACAACAAAGAGGCTATTTGATCATGCTTGGAACTAGCTGATGATAAAGAATGACAATCTCCCTCAGATTTTGAAATTACACTGGCCATATCTACAGCCCAATCTATAAATATTGTTGTGCCAAGAGTTCCATTCAAGCACTGTTCTATCTCAATAACTGCAACAACTTGAAAAGGTTGCCTTATCTTATGATCAATCTCCTTACTTACTTTCCTAGATTTTCCATTATCAATCTCACTCCATAACCTTACGGTTCCATCTAAGCAACATGTAAGCAGCACATCCTTCCATGAGCACAAAGCATCTTTTGTCAATTTCATTAAAGTGGATGGTCTCCACCTAATCAAAGAAACAGGTTGAGGATGACAGAGTTGTATCTTTATTGCTTCGGATTTTCCGTCACTGTGATAGACAGAAACAAGCCTACAATCCACGTTAGCCAATTCAGGTAAATTTTGTGCACCTATTTCCACAGAAGTCAACCAACATGCTGCTGTAGCAACTGGACCTTCAGCAGACCAGGTTGCAGAAACCATTGCTTGAGGAACATCTGCTGCAGATTTCCAAGACATTTCCCATGAACTACCCTTCCTCCTCCAAAATACAACCTCCATACCAGCTGCAATCAGCCCATCACCGGAACCAGTCCATTCAATTGCTTCTACAATGGAAGAGTGTATGACACCTGCAGTCTGACTCCAACAGAATGAACCTGTAAATATCAAGTGTATGATTAGAGATCATAACCCTAAAGTTTCAAATAGATGAGTAATATTCCAAATGAACAGTTACGAAACTTCAGCCTACTTCCATTGTTCAGCATATTAGAGTGATAGAATTTGCATAGTGGTGTAGAAATATATGCCAAGAATTACATAGTTCAATGCCCATAGAAGAAGGCCCGTACCAAGAAACTTGATAAGAAAACATGGTAACTTTGACAAGTGGAGCACCCAATGTGGGGGTAGAGGAATTACGATTATCTTTCTTTTCATTAAGAGACAGTTTAGTCGTATGAGCATTTTGAAAGGAGTTGAACTTGATCGAAGAGAAAATATATGTGATACCATACCTAATTTAGGAATGATTCTGGCTCAGAGAAATTCATATGGAGAATTAGGTATATTATTGAGTAGGAAAGGCTCCATTAAACCAAACATAAAAAATAAAAGCCTTATTTGATAATGCATTTTGTTCGATGAAGCAACCATACTGCATTTATAGTTGTTAATGATTCAATCAAGAGTCAATTCAAACTAGGTGTGACTCATTACCTTTGATCCAAGTTTGATTCAAGCCAAAAAAAGGTCATGTTTTTTATTAACTTTTGTACCTTAGTAGGCAAGTTCCTAGTCCAAAATGCATATATATATATATATATATATATATATATATATGCATTTTGGACTAGGAACTTGCCTACTAAGGTACAAAAGTTAATAAAAAACATGACCTTTTTTTGGCTTGAATCAAACTTGGATCAAAGGTAATGAGTCACACCTAGTTTGAATTGACTCTTGATTGAATCATTAACAACTATAAATGCAGTATGGTTGCTTCATCGAACAAAATGCATTATCAAATAAGGCTTTTATTTTTTATGTTTGGTTTAATGGAGCCTTTCCTACTCAATAATATACCTAATTCTCCATATGAATTTCTCTGAGCCAGAATCATTCCTAAATTAGGTATGGTATCACATATATTTTCTCTTCGATCAAGTTCAACTCCTTTCAAAATGCTCATACGACTAAACTGTCTCTTAATGAAAAGAAAGATAATCGTAATTCCTCTACCCCCACATTGGGTGCTCCACTTGTCAAAGTTACCATGTTTTCTTATCAAGTTTCTTGGTACGGGCCTTCTTCTATGGGCATTGAACTATGTAATTCTTGGCATATATTTCTACACCACTATGCAAATTCTATCACTCTAATATGCTGAACAATGGAAGTAGGCTGAAGTTTCGTAACTGTTCATTTGGAATATTACTCATCTATTTGAAACTTTAGGGTTATGATCTCTAATCATACACTTGATATTTACAGGTTCATTCTGTTGGAGTCAGACTGCAGGTGTCATACACTCTTCCATTGTAGAAGCAATTGAATGGACTGGTTCCGGTGATGGGCTGATTGCAGCTGGTATGGAGGTTGTATTTTGGAGGAGGAAGGGTAGTTCATGGGAAATGTCTTGGAAATCTGCAGCAGATGTTCCTCAAGCAATGGTTTCTGCAACCTGGTCTGCTGAAGGTCCAGTTGCTACAGCAGCATGTTGGTTGACTTCTGTGGAAATAGGTGCACAAAATTTACCTGAATTGGCTAACGTGGATTGTAGGCTTGTTTCTGTCTATCACAGTGACGGAAAATCCGAAGCAATAAAGATACAACTCTGTCATCCTCAACCTGTTTCTTTGATTAGGTGGAGACCATCCACTTTAATGAAATTGACAAAAGATGCTTTGTGCTCATGGAAGGATGTGCTGCTTACATGTTGCTTAGATGGAACCGTAAGGTTATGGAGTGAGATTGATAATGGAAAATCTAGGAAAGTAAGTAAGGAGATTGATCATAAGATAAGGCAACCTTTTCAAGTTGTTGCAGTTATTGAGATAGAACAGTGCTTGAATGGAACTCTTGGCACAACAATATTTATAGATTGGGCTGTAGATATGGCCAGTGTAATTTCAAAATCTGAGGGAGATTGTCATTCTTTATCATCAGCTAGTTCCAAGCATGATCAAATAGCCTCTTGCGAATGGCTAATCAGTGTTGGACCTGTGAACTTGGTTGCTTTATGGGCCGTCCACTGTCTAGATGATGCTACTACTTTTCGTTCTCCAAGAGTGACTTTATGGTGGAAAAAAAATCCTGCGGACCTTCGAGCTTTCAACTTCTCTAATTATCGGTGTTTGCGTCCTGCAGAAAAACCAGTTTTGGTAAAAGTTGTTGCTATGAGAAGACAACTGTTTGGTCCACCATTTGCATGCTCTTTGCTTCAGTTGCTTCCTGATAATTGCATGACCTGGTGGCATTTATATAATCCATCAATTGATGATGCAGAGCACAGTTCCTTAACTCAGGTCAGAAAGGAGAGATGTCTTTCTCATTTTACAGCTGGTGTATTAAATATAGATGGACACTCAGCAAACATATTACAATTAGCTCTCCATACTTGTTCCCATGAACTTGAGCTTGCTGTCTCCTTAGACTCTAATGGTTTTCTTCTCTTCTGGTCCTTTTCTAAACATTTCAACTGTACCTTGGGCATGCAAATGTATATTCATCCTACTTGGAAACTTATGGGAAAAATCAGATCACAAGATTTATCTACTAATTTGCAATATTTAACTGTAGGGTGGGCGCCTTTTGTTTTGGATGAGAAGCCTTTGCTTCTTCTGGGATATACTGATGGCATTGATTGTTTCCTGATTAATGTCCCAGGGGAAGGAGAGGATATATTATGTCATAAAATCTTCAGTGTATCGTTTGCTAGTCATAATCATTTAGAAGGGTCACCGGATCTCATATTTGCAACACCTTTAGCTTATTTTCCCAAAAGTTTTTTGCTTTGTGGAGTATGGATGAAGGCATTGAGGACTTTATCTTGGAAAATTGTCCTGCAATCTGAAGATTTAACTGGAAGTTCCTGTGAATTTAGTTCTGATTCTGAAACAGTTTTAATGCCTGGAAATATGAGTAAATGGATATCACACAGTGGCCGAAGATATTCTGCTACCATTTGTCCAGCCTCATGGAACTTTCCACACCCACAAAATTCTAAAACAATGATATGTGTTTCAGTGGTTACTCTCGATCATTCTATAATCTCCAATGTTAATAATGTGATTTCTAATAATGTTTCATATGGAAATATTATTAGTTTAATGGCTATAGGATTTTCTGATGGTGTACTGGAACTTTGGAAGGTGTCTTCTGCTAAATCATTGGAGTCAGAGTCCATACCCTGGGTTCTTGTGGGAAAATTTGCTGCACACGATGGCCCAGTTAATGCAGTCTCATTATCGAGCTGTGGTAGTAAAATTGCTACTGTTAACGTAGGTGGTAAAAACTGCGTGACCACCCTTCATGTTTGGACTCCAATATGCTTGATAGGTGGTGGAAGCTTTATACTAGAAGATGTTTTATTATTTAACGGGCCTGTGATTGCCTTAAAATGGTCAGTTATAGGAAATGGAAACCTCTTACTTGGTGTCTGTATGCCAAATGAATTTTACATATATTGTGAGAGAAGATCTCATAGTTTTTTCGTGGAATCAGATAAATCAAAAGAGTTGCATCCTTGGTGCTGCATTTCAATGTCACATTCTTGCCAACCTTGTCATGAATTTCAGTGGGGACCTATGTTAACTCCCGTACTTCTTCATGAAAGGAAAATTTCAATTTTTAGTGAGTGGTTGTCTGAAGCAGAATATAATCACATTGGAGAAAGTTCTTCTATTTATACTGTTAGCACAGATGAAAACTCACGTTGCGGTATATCCCTCAAAAATAATGTTCATGGTGCTAATGAATTAAGCCAACTTGACAATAAAGAAAATGGAATAGCTTTTAATGTTGTGTCTTCAGGGAGCTTCTTGAAAAAAGAGAAATGTGATACCAGGAACAGGTTGCATAGCTTAATGGATATGGTAGAGAGACTTTGTAGACCTTTGGATTCCTATCACCCCTGGGCACTACTCCAATATCTATACAGTGGTATGTTCTCTTAACTATTTAAATCATATGCATCATTAGGATTATCATCAAAACCAAATGATATGGCATCTTCATACAACATCATACTTTTGACATCTGAACTGTTTGTGGAAACTTTATGAAAGCACTTTGCATGTTTCGTGGACATGGAATCTAATCATATATCTTTTCTATATGAATGAAATATAACTCCCCCTTGCTTCTCCTTGCACCTTTTTTACTTTCATTCCCAAAGATCTAATCAATCTAGAGATGGGAGCCCCAACAGTGTCCAAGTGAATCCTTATGCATAAGCAGGTGTACTTGTTAGATATAACAAAAATAAAACCACAATGCATATTTCAGATAAAACCTTTAGCTTTATCCTTAACCCAAATTGATATATATCCTAGAAATTACTTGAATATACTGATGAAAGTTATCTCATTCTGAAAATTGCTCAAATTACCATATAAATTCTAAGTTAGGACTATTGTCATTTTGGATATCCATTTTCCCTGCTATTAAATTTGGCTCCAAGATTATCAATTTATTTAAAGCCATAAAATTAGTAATGTGATCGGTTTATCTATGTCATATATGTGTAATGGTTTTTTTTCCTATTCAATCTTGTCAAAAAGAGTTGGATACATCTTGTTGGCTATAGGCAAGTGAAGGTATGCAATTGGTGATATTCTAGTTAATCCTACAAGAGAATTACCATTTACTGTTTCCTTTATAGTGCGTAGTCAAATATGTATGATATTCTAGTTAATCCTACTAGGCTGTTTGGCTGTATTTTTCCGGTTTTCATGTTTGCACTCTGTATATTGATGAGAGATTTTATATCTAAATACACGTGTTCATACTTATTTATCCACGTGCATATATGTGTACATAAGTGTTCTACTTTAACCATCTTTCTTTTTCAACGCTTGACCTATTCACGAATTCATGTTGTCTACTATCTGGTTTTGTGTGATCATGTATTCTTATGTGATACTGTAATTTGCTGGTTAGTATTATGGGCATGCATGTTCTAACTGGGCTTGTTCTCTTATACTATGTCCATATTCTACGAGGGGCCTTTTTTTTTGGCTTTCTTTGTAGTAACAGGTGCACCCTATTTGGATACAAATTGCCAAACTGCTTTAAAAAAAAAAAAAAAAATCTTAAAAGGATTCTTTTAGAATGAAGTTTTGAAAATGTTGTTTTTCAATTGCTTCATAAAACCACTTTTCGTTTCAGTAATTTATGAAAAAGAGAATCTCAAATAGATGGGCTATTTTTACTCGTGATTTAGTTTCAAGCTATTGAATATCTCTTGGTCGTGGATTTGCTAACATGTTCATTCTTTCTTTTGATGTAATTTTGAGGTATTTAGTACTTCAATGTGGTTTGCTATTACTTTTTCCATACTTAGGTATGCATTTGGAAAGATAAACTAACACTTGGCACCGTGGATTGGGTAAAATAATTGGCAAATTTTAGGAAACTGGAAACGTGCCTATATTGTTCTGAAACATCTCGTTGATTCACTCTCCCCTTTAGATGCTTCTACAACTGTAATTGAACGCTGCAGTTCAGAAAAGCCTTGTCATATTCCACAGATATCTTTGTCTAGTTATCTTGATGGAACGTCCCCAGAAGAGCCAGGCAGTAATACTGTACAGTGGGGTGAAGGAAGTAATTTTGTATCAGCAACCTTTGAGAAAAATGTTTTTCAGTTTGGGAAAGATACTCTGAAGACGACAATATATAATGATATTCCAGTGATCAACGGTTTGAAGTCTGAAATTATGGGGTTCATTGACACTCTTGAGAAGTTTCCCACCTTAGCTGCTTTAACAAACATGGAGAGAATACACATTTTAACAGTGCTTGATATTTTACTTGAGCTCAGCAATACAAGCTACGCTTCTCTATATGATAGCCTTGATGAGCCTGGGCGAAGGTACTTAATTTACAGGTCTTCTTAAGTTTTACCTATTGGAAAGTCTTTTCATACTTTTTGGTTCTTTCCTTTGAATTGTACAATGGGTTGTTAGTATCATAAAATATAATATTATGATTATTCTTTTATAATTTACCCACGCTCAAATGCTTTTTCTAAACAAATGAATATTCATCTCTTAATGGGCGTGGCTACGGATCTCTATGGACTCAGAATGGTTTATTTCTTGAAACCTTTCAACTGAGGATGGCCTTAATGTAAGATATTTAACAAACTTTTGAATGCTTCTCTCATAATTAGTTCATAGCTTGTACCTGAGCATGCATGATTTTACCAAAGGAAACATTGTTGTTGCTATTGATCACAATTATGAAAGTAGAACTTCTAAGATGGGTATATTGGTTGTAATGCAAGGTACGGTTCTAGTCTAGAATCATTCTACATTTTATACCATTTCATGCATACTGCATAAGTGAATTTCAATGGAAGATAGGAAACAAGATCTTCATATTATGAAGGAAAATTTCTCAAGAAATGTTAAATAGAATGTTGCAAGGTAGGGGGATGAATGAGCTGATCCTAGCCATATAATAATTTGCTTAGCTTAATCACTAAAACTAGCCTTGTCTACCGCCCGAGCTTATTCAACATAATTCAAGTTTGAGGTCAAATATGGGATATTAACCTTGAATGTGATTTGCATTTCTGTCATTTAAAATGATTGAAACATTTTTTTAATTCTCATGCAAGCTTTCATTTGAGTACTTAAGCCAAGCTATAAAGCAAGGAAGAGGGCAAGGGGGTGGCCTTCTTTTGCCATTAACAACTCTAAAAAGTGTCTTTGACATTGCTTTGGTTTTAAAACCTAGAAGAGCCTTTGGATCTTATCAATGCTCTATTTTGTGGATGCTTAAGTGACCTTTACATTTTGATTGCTCTGATGAACCACCTCTTAGTCTGATTTGGGTTGCTTTTCCTTCGATTTTTATTCATTGTTTCAATCAATCTATTATGTTTTCTCTCGATTCTATTCTTTGAAAAATTTCTTCAAGTGGGTGTAGCTATTGCCAAGCTCTTTAGGCCATTAGTGGCTAGGTCTTGATAGAAATGGACATTACTATTACTTGGGAGAAAGAGATTTTGGATTGTCTATATTGCTTATGGTTATACTTGCATAAGGTAATATTTGAAATCATTCCTTCATATGAATTTTCTTGTAAAATATTGTCGCAAATATATGGGATGCTTTATAGATTCATTTAGAATTGCGAAAAGTCATCTTTTGGTGATCCTTGTAATCATGGCTCACAAGAGCAATCAAATGATCACCATTTGGTGGAAAATTCTCTATCCTTATTAGATTTGAAATATTTTGTGATCAAATACAACATAACAAATATTACATTATTTTAATAGATAAAAATATTATTTATTAATGTCTTAATAATAAAATTTTATTTTTTTTGAGTTTTTTTCTTACTCAGTATATTTGATTGAATAAGATTTATTTTATTTTGGGATGCAGGCTCCTCATAAAAGTAAGTTTTTATAGTTAATTGCATTAAAGAAGTGTTTATCTTTGAGAAAACTTTTGATTATAATAATGATTTACCTTTTTATAATCAAAATATTTGCTAACATTTTATATAATTTCAATAATTGTATTTCAAAAATTGGGTTTTGAAATTTCAAGGATGATTGAAACAAATTAGAATTGATTTTGATCAACGCTTTAAATGGCGAAATCGGGAATCGAGGCGTTTTGGCTAAGCAAGGCGAGGCGTAAGCCTGAAAAATAATAAAAATAAAGTAATTTAAAATTATGAATAATGACAAAAATAACGAAATATTATGTCAATTATGAATTTGAATGATTTATTCTAAGATAATATTAGTATATTACTGAAAAAAAAGACTTAAAATAAAACATCTCATTAGGATTAAGATCCAATGCTGACTCATCATCACTTTAATTGTCTTCAGAAGAATCTTCATAATTAATGTCAAAGTTATCCTCAAACTCTTCTTCATCTATAATATTTTTTCCTTTATCCTCTATATCAGTTAATATTTCATTAGCTTTAGAATGAAATAATAATAGCATAAAAAATAATTTATTATATTTAAGAATATATTTGAATTTTTTTGAAGCTCCAATCTCACTTTGTTTCTTTCTTTTATATACATGAGTAGTTGCTTCATTGTCTTTATTGACATGAGTTTCTCCTTCTGCTTCAACTTCAGAAACATCAACATTCTTAGGAGTAACCCATTCATCATCAGATTGTAAATCATCAACAAGTAAATGATCAATTTCATTATCAATGCTTCCTTGTTTTTGTAATTTGAGATGTCTATCTTTCAGTTTTTTGTTAAATATAACCTAAACTAATTTGTTTATTCGATCTGTCGCCAATCGATTTATTCTCTTAGTATGAATTTGATCGAAGATACTCCAATTACGCTCGCATGCAAAAGCTGAACATGTTAGGCTAAGAACTTTAACTACAAAAGCTTTCAATTTAGGAACATCATCTCTAAATTGACTCCACCAATGTTCTACATGAAAATAAATAGTATTTTATGAATATTGATTAAAGTAGAAGAATTGAACATAAATATTAAAATTAAAATTATAAATATACAAATTATAAACATACTAGGAGATCGTGTTTTGTAGCATGTCTGTGCTGCTCTAAATCCAAACATTCCATTCTTTAAATGAAATTCCTCAAATTGATCATTCACTTTGAGGTAGTCTTCTTCAGAAATGAGCCTGTCTATACACGCATACAAACCAATTTTCACCTCTTTATCAACATGAAAGTCTTTATTATTATAAAATTGAGGGTTTAAATAGTATGCAGCAGCATGTAAGTGTTGGTGTAATTGACGATCCCATTTTTCATCTATAATATCCCATATTTCTTTGTAGGAACTTTCTTGACCTCCTAAATCTTTTACAATGCCGTCTTTAGCCCTATTCATTGCTTAATAAATAAATCCCATAGCCGGGGCTCTCTCACCATCAATCATTCTAAGCATCTTAACTAATGGTGTTGTTATTTTCAAATTATATTCTGTACTGCGCTAAAATGAATCATCTTTTATAATAATTTTTTTTACATGTTTTCCTTCTTGTTTTTTTTTTGCCCATGAACTTTTATCCCATTCTTCAGAAGCAAACATAGCTTCCAAAGGTTGCCTTAACTCCTTGAACCTCTGTAATGTTAAATATACAGCAGCAAATCTCGTAACAGCAGGTCTAATAATTTCCTTTGTAAGTGAATTTTCTCATCAAATTTAGTACCCAAGAATGATTGTATATGAACTTACTAATGAATTTGGCCTTCAATAAGGCTGATTTATACTAAGGCAACTGTCCCAACTTTTCAAGCATTAAATCAATGCAATGTGCAACACAAGGAGTCCAATAAAGGTGTGGCCTCTTCTCCATTAACATTCTCCCTGCAGTTTTATATGCACTTGAATTATCAGTAACAACTTGTACTACTAAAGCATCACCTACTTTCTCAACAACTTCATCCAATATTTCTAACAATAATTGTGCATCCTTTACAAAACTTGAAGCATCCACTGATTTTAGAAAAATTGTTCCATATGGATTGTTGACCAAGAAATTAATAATTCTTCTATGTCGAATATCTGACCAACCATTCCTTTTTTACCTCATCAGGTATTTTTGATATGGTCCCACATTGACATGAGTGCAGGTTAGATGATCCTTCAATATGTTGACGCCACCAGTTATGCGTTTATCACAAAAATTACATTTCATGTAAACATATCCCTTCTTTGCACCTTCGCCTGACACTTCAACTTGAGTTCCATATTTTCACGTAGGACCTTTCCTTCTTGTGTCACTAGTCATGCTAATAGTTTATAGAAATAAATATTAAATAATCAATATAAAAAATCAACAATAAGACAACATGAATACAACAATATACCGGTCTGCCGCAGGTCCAAGGGGTGCTGCCCCTTGGCGGGATTCGACCTGCCCGGTCAGGTCACGGGGTTAAGGGGCAGCGCCCCTGCAGGGGTTTTCGGGGGGAGCGCCCCCGGAACAAAATTTTATTATAAGAGTAATTATGCTTGTTTTTAAAGTTCGTAAGTTGTTTGTATTGAAAGATATCGTGCGGTACCGAGCATGTGCCGCGCGGTACCGAGCATGTGCCGCGCGGTACCGAGCATGTGCCGAGAGGTACCGAGCATGTGCCGAGCGGTACCGAGCATGTGCCGCGCAGTATCGAGCATATACTGAGTGGACGAATCAAGCTTTCATTACTGCACGTCAAAGTCAAGGCCCACAACACCGCTCACCTGCTCTTCCGACCTAACTGAGGCCTGAACGTTTCGTGCACTCACAACTTCGGCTTCATTTCCTGCTTTCGAAACTGTTATTGCTTTCGACTTCGTTTCCTGCATTGTTTCCTTCCAGCTTCGTCTCCTGCACTCACGGCTTCGTCTACTTGCCTCATGACTTCGTCTCTGATGTAGACAAGAAAGATAGGGGACCCTATATTTCTTGAACACAATAGACACACAAGAAGAAATCTGATACAATGAGTAGAAGTTAAAATAAATTTTATTAAATAAACGCTAACGACCTAAAACTAGACAAACACAACAAAAGATGCTAAAAGATTTTAAAGAAAA